AGCAGGGATAACAGTCAGGGGCAAAAACAAATCTCTCAGACCTTGGAAAAGAAGCTGAGCCATTCCCTAGCAATGCTGGAGGAGAAACTTCTGGGGTGACAGAGAGAAGCCCAAAGCTGCAGACAGACTCAACTAAGCATCCAAGTGAACTTAATGCTCTCTGGCCTGCCTGCAGCAGCCTTTGAAATGACAAACCTCTGCTTTGGCTGACTGGACATCTACCTGTTAAAGATGCAACTGCCAGTTATGGCAGCCATATGTTCACCTGAATAAACCAGAGACACTCCTTGGTGTGCACCTGAGACACAGCAGGTCTTCTGACAGATGCAACCCAATTTTTACATGCTTCTGTCAAGCCCCATTACAGCTAGGAGACAGTGGGCTGTGAACAGAAGAAGAGATGAGAAGGGGGTGACGCATGAGAGGCCTCCCAGATGAAGCCATCAGCATCCTGGAAAGATTTTAGAGAAGAGGAAGTATTTTATCCTCTTTTGGTAAATGTTCCTGGCAAGGCAGCCCCGCTCCAGCATGGTAAAACAGAAGTAAAAGAAACTGAATTCCCAAACACATTAGCCTTCCTGATGTGTCAGCTCCATTTCCCCACTGCTCTCCCCAAAGCCTTTGCAGGCACATGATGTCAAGCTCCCCACAAAAAACCACAGGGGCTTGCTCAAGTTCTGTGGTTGATGTAATATTGGTGCAGCCAATTTAGCTTCCTCCCCTTGGTGTGCAGTCAGGGTGCTGCTGGTGCACTGTGGCTCAGCTGCAAGTAAGGCAGACACTGGCTGAGGGGAAGGGGTTGTGTCTGCCCAGCCATGGCAGAGGCCAAAAAAGGAAGCCAAGTTGCTGATATGAACTTTATAAAGGAAACTATCAGAGATGAAAGCCAAACTTGGTTTAGCCTCTGTCCTAAGCTCTCCCCAATCTCCTTGAGGCTAGGTTATGTTTATATGATATTATATTACTTAGCAACAAGGTGAAGTACACAAGCCCCAGTAAGACTTGTAAAAACATATGCAACTACACTATAGACATACCAAGATATGTCAATACTGGATCAACAATTTACTTCCTACATGATTACTGTGAAAATTTATTTTTAATTGATTCTTGTCAGTTAGCATGTAATAACATCCTTTCTCTTCCAGCCTCTGCATTTCAAGTAAAAGCAGAATACCTTCCCTAAACAGACATACAAATAAATGAACCTTTGCCTGGTCTTCCTGCTGCTGGATAGTAATTATCTATTCAATTACATGTCTCCATTCTCTGTACTCTCTAATGCAGAGAAAAGGTGCTTATCCAGATTAAACAATCTTCAAACATCTCCAAAACGAGGTCTATTGATTACTGTTTCTACAGCCGCAGAATAAAAGGCACTCTAGTCTGAAAGTAAAGTGGTAAAAGTTCTTGCTCTATAACAAAGGAATTACAGGAGTTGAAACAACAGCCATATTTTCTTCCTTTATGGCCTTGTATTTCTCATTTTCTGCCACAAAAATAAGAAAAGAATCCCTATGGCCCAGATATCACAGAATCACAGAATCACAGAATAATGAGGTTGGAAAAGACCTCTAAGATCATCAAGTCCAACCTATGCCCTAACACCACAACTAGACTATGGCACCAAGTGCCAAGACCAGTCTTTTTTAAACATATCCAGAGATGGTGATTCCACCACCTCCCTAGGAAGACAATTCCAGTATTTTATTATTCTTTCAGTGAAAATTTTTTTCCTAATATCCAACCTCAACCTTCCCTGACGTAGCTTGAGACTGTGTCCCCTTGTTCTGTCAGTTGCTGCCTGGTGGAAGAGACCGACCATCACCTGTCTACAGCCTCCCTTCAGGAAGCTGTAGAGAGCAATAAGGTCACACTAAGCCTCCTCTTCTCCAGGCTAAACAACCCCAACTCCCTCAAACGTTCCTCACAGGGTTTGTGTTCCAGGCCCCTCACCAGACTCGTTACCTTCTCTGGACGTGCTCAAGCATCTCAATGTCCTTCCTAATATCTGTATGGCTTCATCCTGTTGATCTAAATGACAGTTTGTACATTTGTCCAAGTGCCTTAACAGAAGAGATATTGGTTTCTGTTCTGTAATTTCATCATAGGCATCATCCACAGCTGATCTTGCTAGACGGGAAAGATATATCAGGTGTCTGTTATTGTTTTGTCATGATGAATTCCAGGAATAAATTAGGTTGTATGTTTTTAATTATATTAAATCTCTACTGCAAAGATATAGAGATTTTAAATTAGATTAAGTCTGCAAGATACTGAGTTCCTGTAGATGACTCTACCACATGTGCATCTCATGTTTGAAGATGGAGATGTTTGACATACTCGCAAATGTTGTACTGATATACGCTGATTAACAAAATTATTTTGTGAATTCTTCTTGTACACTTACTAAAACATAATTGCTCACATTAGAAAGAATGATGCTATGCTTAAAATTATTAAGGTAGTGTTATAACTTGTTCTCTGGTCACAGCATTAGTTTATCTATCATAATCCCTGTCTGAATTAGCCATGCTAACAACTGTCCCTCTGGAGCAACTTCCTTAAGCATTTTTCAAAACTCAGGAACTGACAAAGTTTAAAATAGCAGCCATCATTATTCAAAAGGAAAATAATTGCAACTAAGTAAGCAGATACTGTAATACTACAGTATTATATATATAATATATATTATATATATATATATAATATATGTAATATATAATATATAATATATAATATATAATATATAATATATAATATATAATATATAATATATAATATATTATATATAATATATAATATATTATATATTATATATATTATACAGTAGCAGTGGACCAAATAAAATTAATCTTGAGAAAACGAGCTCTGAGCCACAAGATGCCTGGCTGTAAATACTGGCAGCAATTAAAAACTGGCAGTTTCAGTAAGGTGACTTTCTCATACCCAGTTTCATGCTGTGTCATTTATCTGAATTGTAAGAAGGGAAGTGCCTCTATGCTCGGAACAGTTTAAGAAGGACAGATCTATGCCCTAACACATACGAAATGCTTTGTCAATTGTACTGTTCAATATTAGGCTTCAATCCCATTATGGGTACAGCTGGATTGATAATAAAACATAAAACTGTTTTAGCATGCATTTTCTCACAAATGCATAGTCTCCAGAACAGTATTCTAAAATACAAGTACCTTCTACCTTCTAATCCTAGGTGACAGACTAGGCATCTGAGATGGTATCAGTGTTGTAAAGTTATCTTTTCAAAAGACCCAAATCTGACATGCCATCAAAAGACCCAAATCTGACATGCCAAAGGTCTATTTATGCTGCTAAGCAATCTCTCCTGTAAAAATACCCCTCCAAAAGAAGACAAGTAATAATTATATCTCCTGGAAAAATAGTCATGGATTATTCTGAAGTATAGAGTAAGAAAGCAAGAAACCAACAACTTCCCCTGTTTTAATCTGCACTGCCAAGCTGCTTCCTTGTCACACTGCTTCCGGAAATTTCTGTACACCAGGACTGCCTTCATCTAAAGGACCTGATCTGCTAATTGTATGCCATCATATGAATAGACACATCTTTTGCCAATCTAAGGATATAATTCTGCTCCAGAAGCACAAACCTTACATTGTGGGTGACATGAAATAAGTGTTATGCTTCCACATGGAAGATGAATGAAATAGCCAACAGTGACACCCACTGTGGTAGTGCTTCAGGAGGCTGCATCAGATCAGCCAGTCCCTGGCATGTAACACTGGCTCTGGAGGGTTGCAGCAGGCAGTAAAGTCAGTTTTCGCCTACTTCCCCATGTGTATTTAAAATAAGATTATGTTAGGTCTCAATTAAGCAAATGAAACCATCCAGCCTCAGATAAAGGTCTGAATATCTATCATTACATCTCCTGTTTAGGTACAGCCATCACAGACATGTTTGGCCATCTCAGTGGAGGTGAGAAGGGGGAAAGCTGGATTCACATTTCAAGCAAAACAAGTTAAAACCTAAGTTTCTGTTGTGATTAAATAATTTCGTGAATTGAAAACATCTGCTTAAGAGCCCCACTGAGATAAAAAGAGGAGGGGGCCCTGCTCATTCCTTCCCTCCTCACAGGTCTCTGAGGGCTGCCAGAGGCACGGCAAAAGACCACTCTCCTCCTCCAGATGACCACACACACAGAGAGTACAAAAGATGAAAACCTGTGTATGAGACAGGTTTTTCCTATGGTTCATTGGCAACTACAGAAAAATGAATACTTCTCTAACTAAGGCTGTCCAGGGTTGGTTTACTAAAAATCATTTAATCTCTGTAAAATCTATGAGTTTAAGCAGAAACACTAAATCTCTAGAACAAATTTGTCTTTTCAGGCAAAGCACAGCTGATCCTGAACAGTGAAAGGACAAGCTCACTAGGCTGTGTAACTGCAGCTGAACAATAAGCTGGCTAAAGGAAAGGTTTATCTCAAGGTATCACTTGTCAAGCTCACAGCTTTGAAGGAGACTGCTTTGCATGAAATGCTGGAGGAACTGGGTGTGTGACTATAACCAGCTCTTAGCCCTAGGGTGTTTTTTACTCTCACTAATCATGAAACCTCCGAGACACTAAGGAAACTGCCTTCGGTCCATGGAAAAATTACTAAAGTAGCAAGAGGGAGATAGACTGCCTTAATATGAGTATTAACTTTGTTCTCTGCTGGTAACAAAGAAGCAAAGCTTTTATAACTGAAAGAAATTCAAACAGAGGAAAAAAAATGAACAGCAAACAAAAGCAATACTGGTCAGTTCATTTTGGCACACATTATCCTGCAATTCTGCTGCCAATGTCAATGTATTACATGCTGTGTAGCTATAAATTTCATTTATGTTTGAATAAACACCAGCACATAGAATCACTTTGGGTCTGCCTAATGCAGTCTGTCTGCAGGCAGGCCAGAATTGCTACATTTCTTCATCTGAATCACCCAAAAATTAAAAATTTCATTGCTCTCAAAATGCACATACCTGCAATCCCTTGTAGCAGCCCACAGACATTAAAAATGCTTTTCTTCATTATACTCTGCACACACATAGTAAAGACAGACACAAATGCCACGGTGCAGAGAATCATGATTCCCATGGCTAGGAAAATAGCGGTTGCCTGCCAGAACCCACTGGCAATCTCACTGAAGTTTTCAGCATAAGGACCACAAAGCGTGTCTCGTCGAGAGAACTGCATGTGGGAGATCCTGGTGCAGCGCCCGTAGATGCCCAGCGTTGGACGGTAGGGCTCCTGAGGTCCCCCTGTTCTGTTGTCCACCTCGTCGGAGCTTGAAGGCTTTGCTTTGCCAATCAGCCAGTCTGCACTCATGAAGGCAATGAGCTCTGCAAAAGCCACCACGATACTCAGCAGAGTCCATAGCATCGACCGACACGTTACAATGACATGACACATATTGATGTCCAGTGCTTGTGATCAGTGCAGCACACTTAAAATCCAGACACAAGGGAGAAAAAATTAAATTAAAAAAGGAAAAGGACCCTAAGAAAATCACTGTGGCTGCTCTGCCTACTTTCTCAGCTCTCTCACAAAGGTCAAGATGAAGCTTCTCAGGAGAAAAAGTGAACAGACTCAAGTTTTGTAAGCGGTGCAATCATTTGCTCTCTCTGTTCAGTTCCTCGTTTTTCTTTCTGGGATGCTGAGGTCTGAAGTATGCGTTTCTTTCTTAACATTCATACTGGCACATGACACTGCAGGCTGGTGGGGGAGGCTACAAGGACTGCCCACTGTTTGACATCATACACCTACAAGAAAAGAGAAAACACATCAGCAGTGAGAAATAAGTCATTTCCACCCCCACAACAAACCAAGATCTGGCACAGATTCACATCAACACACAAAGCTCTAACAAGAACTGGTCAAACAGAGCCTGCTGGAAATCTCCCTGATTTCTTGCAGGGGAGTAATTATCTCCCTCCCACTGCTGCCAATACTTACAATATCTGCTGTGCCCTATCCCATAGTGGGTGTTTGTCAAACACTTTGCAAGCAAAGGTCTCAGTAACACCCAGCGGTCCCACCCACTCCTACCACCACACCCCCATCATCTTCTTCTGGTCCAAATTACCAAGGGTGCTGGCAGTCACCCAGAAAAATGTTTGGACATGTTCAAGCAGTTTCACAGATGTGCAGCTCCTGTCTTCACTTTGGGGAGGCAGCACAGCCCAGCTTTGGGACAGAGGCTCAGCATGGCTCCACGTGCCACGGGCACCTAGGTGCAAGGGGCAATGAAGAACCTTGTTCCAGGGTTCTGGGTTTCTGCTGACTGCAGCTGAGTCAACCCTGCCTCAAGAAGAGGTGAACAAGATTACAGTTGCAGACAACTCACCCTGTGATCTGGTGACCCCTTTGAAGCCTGGATTTTGCAAGGAGTGGTGCCGCCCTGAGTCTAGGATTGAGGTTTGCACAAGTGTTTCAGGAAAACAATCTGCCTGCAGGTATGTTCACACACCTCATCTTGAACTGCTGCCAGCACTGGCAGCCTCTGGTGACTAATGCCACTGTAAACAGGAATCTATGGAAAAGCAGCCCGTCACTGTTAAGGGGCCAAAAGCCCAGTCAGAAGGGTTGCCAGCTGGCCTTTAGCTTCCCAACTCCCCTCAATTCCCCTCCTCCACAGCCCTGAGTATGCTGCCACTGCAGCAAAATGTTCCCCAGGGCTTCCCCCAGGCCATTATACTGCCTTTCAACAGTGGCTGATGACATTCCCAGAGTTACACTTATCTTAGTACAAGAGGCAGAGATCACTATACTTCCAGCTCCTATCCAAGTATCGGCCTCAAAATAACAAACAGATCATTGCACACGCCTCTGCTCTTGAACTGAAACAGTGCTGCCTGAAAGCAAGGGTCGGAGCAGGAAATGCCCTCATGTTACCCCCTCCAGGATGAGAATGTAGCACTTTGAAGTTTTCTTCACCAAACCCCAAATACTGACATTGAACTGGAGGCAAAAGAGAAGAACCAGATGTGGACCTCACTGCTGTGTTGCTGCAGTCACTAGATGCCAGAAAAACAGGCATCCCCAATATTTTTTTAAGGTTTGTCATGGGGTTGGTATTTAGTTTCTTAAGAGTTCTGAGTCAGGTTGTTGAATATTAGTCCCACTGAATGCAAAATGAAACACACACATGCAGCTTCACACATTCAGAATTTCACCCAGAAATTTCTACTCCCTCCTATATTAGATATAGGGAATCATCTGCAAGATTTCATCCAGCAATTTCTACTCCCCCCATATTAGTGTTAGTGAATTCTCTAGATCTGCAGATTCCTTTGCTAAAAGAGGCTTAAAGCTGATGTGCCAACAACAGAATTTGTCCTCTGCAGTTTACTGTTATGGCACTGCCTTAAAAAAGGGCCTTTTGACATGGTGAGCAGTTCCACTAATTTTCTGTTTTGTGGGGGGACAGCATTAAGTTTCCAAACAAGCTGACATGCTAATGATTTGAATACACCCTTTGTAATAACAGAGAGCTGAAGTGTCAGCCTGCCAAAGAAAGTTAACTTGCTAAGTATTTCTACTTAAAATAATGATTGGAATGTAGGAAATGTCCACTACAAACCTATATTATTCTGATGTCACCTGCATGATTAAGAAGAATATAATTGAAAATGCCTTTATTTTTTTAAAATATGCTTCAAAAAGCTCTAAATACTGTATTTCTCCATAATAACTGCACCCATATGAACTCATCTTTATAATTCCGGGATTTTCAGTGAAGTGGAAGGGACATAAGACCTGAACACCCATAATGGCTGATACTGTTGACTCTGTACCACGGGATATAAAATATCATTTATTGAACCCAGATGAAAACAAAGTTCATATTTGTTTAGGTAGGTGGATATTCTAGGTGAACACTGGCAGCCATAAAAATATATCACTGATAACAAACATGGGATACCTATACTAGAAGAAAAGACTGAATCACAGGGTTCTTTCCCAGCTGAAATGTATGCACAATAAATTGCAGCAAAATTTTATGACAGTATCTCTGGAAAAGTCACTGCATGAACAAAATAACCTGTCTAAAGCTGACATGGAGGTCATGTCAAATCTCAGGAGTTCACTTTCCTATTGTGCAAATAAAGGAAATTTTGCAGCATCTAAAAGTGAGACAGTAGGTGTCATTGAGAACTACAATTCAATTGAAAATACTATGGGGTTTGGCTTTTCCTAGGCAACAAGTACTTTATTGTGGTGTGAAAAATACCAACAGTCAATACACACATCAAATATCCTCATCCTTGGGAAAACTTCTGCTTAAGGTTTTCTGTGCACTAGTGACATGCTCAAAGAAGAGCACCACTCACCTGCAAATCCTTTTTGTCAGACAGACAAAAAACATTTAAAGTAGGACGGTCAGCATAGAGGACGGGCAGAGGCATCTCTTTCTGAGACTTAGTAATAAAAGACTGCACATGAAGTACTGAAGACAAGTTCCAGCTCAGTCATGTTTAGCTGGTTAACCTTTTCCTCCCAACAACCTTCTCCCTGTTTTGACTTTCCCAATTAACCTAATAATCTCTCATGCAGCTTCAACAATGTTTGTGCTATGCATGGAAGCCTTTCCAGCTTCCATGTATGCTGTGCTAAACCACTGTGCTTTATAAAGCTTCACTCTGCCCACCTCCTACTTTTTTTTTTCTCCATTTTTGCTCAGCAGAAATTCAAACCAGGCCCTTGAAAGGCTGAAACCTAGCTGTTTATTCTTCCTCTCAGTTTCCCATCCTCAATAAGTTTTTTCCATAACAGAGCCGTATGGTCTTCACAGCATGCCACTCAGCATCCACTTCTGACTGACTGTCAAAATATTTGCTTTGACAACACAAATTCAAAATACACAATGGTTCTTTAACCCTTTTGGTATTAACTCATTCAAAGTAATTCTTGCTGAAGAAGCAGATTACAAGAAATAGCCTCACCTCTTAGTCATTTGGGCCTCCCCCTATTTTTACTACTGCATTCAATCACATTGGTGTGGAAGGAGGCCATTCATGCTGGGAAACAGCCCTGCACAGCAAATGCCCACATGAGCCACACACCATAGCAGCATGAGGGCCTTGGCAGTGCCATTCTGGCCCACCATATAACCCACATTCCTTGTCTGGACAGCACAGCTCTTAGATGGGTCAAAACTAAACCTTCAGCCTCACTGACTGTAGCTACCATGCTCATAGTCATGCTCTGCATTAAGTGAAGTCTAACACAGGGAAAAGATGTCAACGAGAACACCAGATTCTCAAAGTATCCAAAGAGAATAAGAGATCCCGAATGTAAAATTATTTTGGTTATTTTAATCTAAGAAATCAAGCCAACTTAAAACATTACTAAAACTTTATTTTCAGATTCAATTTTGACAACCAGATACACTGCCTCCAGTCATACTTTCACATCTCTAGCTAGGACTATTCAACTGTTGCCTTCTACTATACAATATGTCTATGTTCAAAGTATATAAACAACATCTATTTTTTTCTGAATGAGATAAAGAAACAAAATTGCCTCCATTTTACTTACACTGCCAAACCCAGAAAGTGAGAAGTGTATCGAAATTATAATATTTAATTAAGGTTTTGGTTTTGAAGATGTTAAGCTTCAGAGTTTTGCTTTGCCATACCAGGCAGATAGAAAGGAACAGCTGTGAAGTACAAATCTGAGGCAGTTTATTTTAAAAAGGTGTCTGACAAGTAGTGTACAAGAGAACCACAAGTACCTTGCAGAACAATGCTGTGGCTAATCCTTCATGCTCCCCTTATGATTTAACTAAAGTCCGAGGCTTGGACTGCAATACAGCTTTTGCCCTTTCCAGCCTGGTTCTGTCAGCTCAGGAGTGAGAATAAATCATTTTTAGATAAGTGGCTTTTGGCTTGGCTTAAGCAAACAGTTGAATGGAAGGCCACACAGACTGCTGAAGTCATCCCAGTTTATAAAAGAAATCCAAGCACAGTTAGACATTTTCTTCTAAAGTTTGCTGGGGTCCAAAGTACAAACACATAGAGGAATTTCCAAATCTTGGTTACCATACACAAGCTTGAACATCTCACAACACAAAATGTGCAAATCTTGGACGCCTGGGTTCTGCTTTCTCTGAAATGTTTTTCATTAGCAGTTATAAACTCTCTGAATATGCTTTGAACTACAAGAGTGGAAGTGGCTCCTATTTGTGTTATGTTTACTCACTATTTAAAACAAATAGAAAGAGTCTCACAAAGTAAGACTCAATTGCCTCAAGCTGACCCACCCAGACTGACATGAACTCCCACTTTAAAAAGCTTCCATCCTTAGGTGTTATTGGACAAGTAAACAGTTCAATTGTGAGCTCACCCTGCCTGGTGGAGTGAGGCACCCATCAAACCACCGAGATGAGAGGCACTGCACTTAAGACAATGTGGTATGAGCACTAGAGATTGTTCATTTCCTGGATAAGTGATAAATGTTGGCAAATAAACTTCTCCTCCCACTTGGTCCTCTCAGCATTCTTACAGGAATTGCTGTTCAGAAGAAGATAGCAGGTTTCTGCCAACTTCCCTGTAGTTTTCAAAGCAGCAGACCAGACAACAAGCAGCATTTGTGAGGAGATAGAAAGGTGCACCTCTGCATTTCTACCCCCACACACTTAGAGATGACTTGCAAATGTAAAAAGAAGTATATTTATCACACTCCCCTGTCACAAGAGAATAGTGACAAGGATTAGTATGTCAGGAAAGACCAGTTGTCCCAAATGGTTTGGTGTAGGTTC